CAGCAACTGTGCTGCCACTCCGCGTGTGCTGCCTTGTGCTGCTGCTGCTCTGCCACGCTGAGTGCCGCTCCATGCTGAATCCTGCAGCTGTTCCGCGTGCTGCCCCACCCCCGGTTATCTGTAAACCCTGCTTGGTTATTTCAAATAATCAGAGTTTTTACATAATCGGCAATCCCCTTACCCCAGGGATGTCAGATAACAGAGACTTAAGTGTATAAGGACAATGGTGATGCTATTGTGCTATTGTTCCAAGTGAGTTAGCACTCTGAAAGAGCCTTATCCAGGTTTTCTAATTCAGTTGTTCTCAACCTTTTTTTTTTTTTTTTTTTTTTTTTTTTTTTTTTTACCAGGACCCATTTGTAAACATGGATGGCCAGTTGAGACTCAGTGCCCCTCACTCCTGACCTGCTGCCCCAGCCCCCACCCCATGTGTGGGGTAGGGCTTAAGCAGCCCCTTGCAGGCTGGAACTGATAGCCTGCAAGGGAAAAGCCATGGTTTCCCACATTTTTCTCCTTTAAAGTAGAATCAATTTTTTAAAGTTTGTTCACAATACTATCATATATTCTTGTGACCCACTTTTGGGTCATGACCCACAGGTTGAGAAACACTGTTCTAATCCACCTACCGGGCTGTAGAAGACTCTTCCTACAATATAACCTGAACGGATTTATTCAATGTAGCCTCAGATGGTTCCTCCACTAATATAGAGATCTTGTTTATTCTTAATTGCTTCCCTCCTCTTACATATGCATATACATATGTATATTTTCACAACTTTCTAATTTTTCTTTATTAATCCTTTATGCTTATTAGGCAAGGATTTTTTTTTGTGATTATATTTTATTGGACTGTGTCATTGGGGAAGTTGTTAGACAAGCTTTTTGTCATCAAGTGCTGTTCTTTGGGTCACCTTGATGCCCAAAAACTTGTCCCACAGCTGTCCCAAGTATACAGTTGGTCAAGTAAAAGCTATAAATAAATAATCTTTGCTTGGATATTACCTGGACCATCATGGCGACAGCCCTTCTTTATGTTTATTATCATTTCTTTGTTTCAGGAGAGCTGTGGGTTCAGTATTTGTTGATTTTTATATTTATTTTAATCACTCTTTTTTTTAAATAGACAATATTGAAAATACTATAGCACTGTGATTATACTTACTAATTTTTAGTTCACTTCCTAATTAAGAAATGCATTAAAATCTGTCTAGGAAAATAAATGATTGGAAGATGAAGACAGCATGTTAAAATGATGAAAAAAATGGTTTTATATAATTGTCTGCAAGCATATTTCTCTTGGGCTTTAAGTTCCTCTGATTTCATACATGTTGTGTGTCCATTATTTGGGAATTTCTTCAAAGATGATTTGGAAAATGCTGTGAAAGCTGGTACTGATACACTGTTGCTGGTCTTTGCTTGTGATCCAAAACTTTGTTAGGATGGTGCTCAAGAGAAGCCAGAGATTTTATGATTCTCTATTTTGGTTTCCCTTTCCTTCTTTCTGTCTTAACAAAACTGCATTGCTACCGATAAAGGCTACCACTATGTGTACAATCTCCACATGTTGATGTGGTAATTCTGCCTTTCCCCATGGTGAAGAGAGGCACCTGTATGGATTCTGCTCCATGAGTGAAGAGGAGTCTGTTGCCACCTACTGCACTTATGCAGAAAGCTGAAATAGTATCTGCTTCATTCTAATCCAGAGTGAAGACTGATGTAGGAGAAATAAAGCAGTATCTGTGCTCTGTGACCTATAAAATAGCCCAAATAAAAGAAGGCTGTGACTGGTAGAAAAATGAGGTCTAGGGCTTCAGGCAATTTACTGTGATTATTGTTTTAAAAAAATAAATCCACGTAAGCAATCAATGAGACCAATTATGACATGCATACAGTTAACCTCGCATTAGCTTTTTGCAGCATTCCCTCTAAGCTGCACGGCCATGCATATATGCTCATGCTGCGCTGCCAGGTGCGCCTGTGCGGCCGTGCACACTACACAGTGTGTACACCAATATTAGCTGGCTATTTGTCATCTCTCTTATTTGGGTGGAGGGGACAGTCTTTCCCACAGAAACTTCACAGGTTATGCTCTCTCAGAAGCTTCAGCATTTCTTTTCAAATAGCAGCTTAGGATTCCTGTACTGACCATCCATAAAAAGCTTTGTGATACTTCATGTTCTACAGCCATATTTTGTCACCCTGCAATAAATCTCAGTTTAGAAGATAGAGAGTAAGTTTAGTGCCCGGCCCTTGCTTCAGAAAGAGCACTGTGTAGGGTGAGGGGGAGAGGGAGAATGTTTAGAATGGTGCAAAAACATCATTTTTTTTATACTAATGAACTGTTAGTGATCTGGGAGATGAAGAGGTGTGGGAATGCCATGGTCAATCTTGAAAATTCAGCTGCAGCCTTTAACCGGAGTTATTAATATTACTCCATGATGAAATTAAGGGTTTTTTTTTCCTCCTCTACTTTAATGGGTGTGCAGGGAAACACAATGAAACTATGTAACAGTTTTTAATTCTAAAGCAGTTTGCTTTACCAAAGCTTTTAAAACCTCTGCAAAGCCTGTTCTAAACTTTCCCAAGGTTTTTAGAACCTTTCAGTAAAGTATTGTGGGGACTTGTGTTACCTTTAATTGTAATACAAATAAGTTGCCTGCTTCTAACTAAATTATATCATACAAGCCATAGAAAGTTCAAAGACTAAATGCTCTTTCAAAATCAAAACCCTCAAAGGTTTAATAAAAGCTGATCAATAAATAAATGTGGCCAAAAAAAAGGAAAAGAAGTTTTGTGCCTAATTCCAATTTTCCCTCTAAAATTGGAGGGTGTTTATACACATGTTCCAGGTGTGGGTGTGCTTTAATTAAAGCACCCAGAGCATCTCATGTATCAACATCCCCATGCTTCAAAATGGCAGCAAGAACGTTTTATCTAAAGCTCATTCTGCAAGCTTTAGATAAAGCGCCTCTGTCACTTTGAACTGCAGAGACACTGCTACATGACATGCAGAGGCTGGCTGGAGTGCAATAATTGCTCCAGCAGACTTGATTAAGTAAGTCTGCTCCAACACACTAATTACAGTGTGTCAGAACAGCCTCTGCGCTTGTGTACAGGCACCCAAAGAGATTAGAAGAGTTTTTTTCTCTCTCACCTAGGAAAGTGAAAGGAGCTTCACTCTGGCTTAGAAAGGCTGGTTCTGGAGCTGCACTTTCTGCTGGCATCCACATAGAATTTGTTGCAGAAACCTCTGAAACTCATTGGCTATGTTCAAAATAAGCCTCATCCATTCAATTTCTCTAAAGAAGTTTGTTCTGCTCTTAGTTTTCTTGTTCCCAAAAAGAGCACACTAATACACTGAAAAAATACTATTGCCACTTGCTAAAAGGGGGTTATTGTAGAAGATGCTTGATTAATGATCAAGCAAAATGCTTGCTATATTATGTTGATTGCATTCAGCCTGAACCTATTCCTCTCCCAAGCCACAGGTGCTGAAGATAGAAATGCCTTGATGAACTGGTGCTGGTGCAGGGGGAAAATAACAACTCTGCATCTCTGTGTGCTCCCTGTCTCAAGACCACAGAGGTTTGAAGGATTTAACTTGTAATGAGTCGCTATGCCTTTTGTGCAGAACACCTTCTTAAGCTCTTGCCTTAGTGCTTAGAACAGCTCCTTTTTGGCAATCGGCTTCAGACACTTCAGATATCAGCTTTGACATTGGGGCTGTTGGTCTGATGCCAGTACCACTACTGAAAACACAGACATGGGGACCAGGTCTTTGTGGTGCTAACTTCTCAGTGGTGGTTTTAGGAGTCATTAACCTAATTGCAAGGGCGTTACATGCAGACTAGGCCATTCAGATTTAACATTTGTCCTCTTCAGGTCCAATAAGGCCCTTATAAACTGTTCCAGAAGCTTGGTCAAGAAGCTGACTCCAAGCTGGGTCCAGTGCATATGGCACTACTATAGAGAGGTGTAAGAGTTTTAAGTGAACATAAGAACAATTATATCCTGGAAATAATCTGTGTAATCTTTCTTTATAGCATTGGATATTAATTTCTAAGTCTATGAGCCAGTGTCTGGTATTATCATTCAGTGTGCAGATTCCATCTACCCTGTCTGGGCACTTGTAAAGATTGCAGCTTTCAATTAAGTGTTGTGCTGTTTGTTGGACACAGCATTCACAAAGGGGGCTATCCAAGATGTTCATCTTGTGAAGTGTTTCATAGATTCCAGGTTTGGAAGGAACCTCAGTAGGCCATCTAGTCTGACCCTCTGCCCCTGGCAGGCAAGAAAAGGGTCACCAAACCTGGGATCATGTGATCCCAGCCAGGTGCCTGTCCAGTCTCCTCTTGAATGCCCCCAAGGATGGGGCAAAAACCACCTCCCTTGCCCTTGGTTCCAGATCCTGGTAACCCTGACCGTGAAGAACTTTTTTCTAATGTCCAGTCAAAAAACTTCTCTCCAATAGCTTATGGCCATTGTTCCTTGTTGTTCCAGGGGGTGCCCTGGTAAACAGATCATCGCCTAGTTTGTGTTGCCTCCCACCTTATGAATTTGTACGCCGCCACAAGGTCCCCTCCCAACCTTCTCCTGGAGAGGCTGAAAAGGTTCAGGTCCCTTAGCCTTTCCTCATAGGGCCTTCCCTTCAGACCTCCAATCAGATGAGTGGCTCTTCTTTGGACCCTCTCCAGGTTGTCCGCATCCCGCTTGAACTGCGGCATCCAGAACTGGACACAGTACTCTAGCTGCGGCCTAAGCAGTGCCGCATAGAGAGGGAAAATCACCTCCCTGGACCTATTTGTAAAGCACCTACAGATGCACAAGGTGCGATTGGCTCTGCTGAGTACTTCATCACATTGATGACTCATGTTCATCCTGGAGTCAACAGTGACTCCAAGATCTCTTTCTGCCTCAGTGTTGCTGAGAAGGTTGCCCCCCAGCCTATAGGTATGATGACAGTTTTTCCTTCTTAGATGCAGC